GGAGTTACGAAACTCCCCGTGACCCGGCGGTTTGTCTAGTAAGGAAATAACCCCCACGAACCCATCCAAGAGAAGGAAAGGTAAACAACAAAAGATAAATCCTTAGCCGGGACTCGTCGACCTAATCCCAATCCGCATAAATTTCTTACCCAGGAAAACACAGTGATAAAAATTGAAAAAAAAAATCGACTTGAAAGGTAAACAAGTCGTTCGTCCGAATGCGTTCAAGGCTTCCGAGAGATGCATCTCGATGCTCTCCATGGTGACACACAAACGCTCTCTTTTTTATTTCGAGAGGAATACAATAAAATCTCGCTACAACGAACTACAGGATAGAACTTCCGTTATATCGAGTTCCACGGCTCTTTCTAACAGTATGTAGGACTAAAATTTCGTGAGGAATAGGTAATAGATGCTTCACAGCAAATACGTGAAAAATCGCTCGAAGTTCTAGCTTTTATTGATGAAATACTGTGGTGGGAAAATCAAAAACGTGGAAGACAACTCTTTTATTTCAGAGACTTTGCCTATATTAAATTTTATAGAAGATACACCGATCTTACTGGAGTATGAGCTGGGGAAAAAAACAGAAGATACATGTGTGAGAAGAGCAATTATTCATGAGAACTGCAACGTTCCCTAAAATAGAGCAAAATCCTTTCAAACATATATTTCTATTTTTTTTTAGCTATTTGCCAATTCTAAAATGCAGCTCAATAGGTTTTGATTTGAGCTGCATACTACAGCAGGATCTCGTAACAGCGAATCTCGATACTGTATAACGAATATTCGATTACAACGAAGTAGTTTTTTAGGTCTCTGCTCAATAGCCATGATGTTTAAATAGTTCTTCAAAACAAAATGTTTCTTTACGACGAATCTACAATATTTTACTGGTCCCGACGGCTTCGTTGTAATGAGATTTTACTGTATCTGCCATGTTGAATTTCACACACAGAAGGATCAATTTTTATATTCGTTGATGTTCTTCATTTGTGCTCAAGTTCAGTTTTCCCATATTGTGCCAATTAGTGAAATTTACACGGTTTATTCACACATAATGAAAGCGAAACTTTGTTATACTGTATACTGAGATTGTAGAGGAAACTTAGTTTGCTACAACGAAATTTGTACATCAGTGTTTCTATGAAGAAACTGCCTGGACAAAGAAAAAAAATCGTAGAAACTAAAAATGTTTATACAGTATCTTCGTAAATAACAGTAACCCTATTAAGAACCTGCCGGGACTAACAGACAATTCGTCGTTACTAAAAATTAACAGAATGATGTATAACGGTGCCCCTAATAAGAAACTTCCACAACGAAGAAAAAAAAATTGTACAACTACACATTCCCCTATAAAGAAATTGCCGGGACCAAGAAAAAAACGTTGCATAGTGTAGCATAACAGTGTCTCCTCATGAAACGACTGCCGAGACTAAGAAAAAAAAATTTCGTAGTAGCGAAAACGTTCATTACAACGAGATTCGTTGTAAGGGAATTCTATTGCATTGTCACGAGCGAGAAAAAAAAGAAGCCGGTTCCGACCTCAAGTCAGTGTTGTGGAAAAGAACTCGATTAAAACGCTGAACGGGGTGAGGTAATGACGAGAGAGACACGGTGTTACTCAAGCCGGCCAGGGTTACGCCACATGCCGTGTCTTGCACGCACCGGGTCCAGTCGAGCGAGGCTGCCAACGGCCTCGTCGTGTACGTTTTCAACTTCTTCTCGAATCGGAAAATAATGAGAAGAACTCGTCATGGAGCAACACCAAAAAAAGGCTGCTCATTACTGGAAACCTCCCGAGCCGTCGTCAAACTTAATTTATTCAGTCTCGATCAAGCTAAATTCGTTAGACCAAATATGAACAGTTCAAGGCATTCCGTTTTTTTCTTTAAATCCCTCTCCCCGGTTTTATTCTTGGCTGTTCTCAAGGCTCGTTTTTTTCTGGCTGCTTCGGTGCTTATAAATGCGTAGCGCGTTTTTAAAGGCGCATTGTCGGGTTTTTGAAAAATAAAATAAAAACATTTTCATGCAAATAAAAATAGCACCAGCAATAGCACAATTTCCAGACACCTCGCCTGTTACAGTATCAACATATTCTGGGAGGAGGGCCTTTTGAATTTCAACCTCGATTTCGCCGATGAGCTAAGGGAACCCGACTCGGGAGAAAATTTCGAGATTGAGCCTAAATCTAGATTCTTCGAGATTCAACAAATTTGACTCACTAATAAATATAAATCTTTAGCGTGAAATACTGTATTGTGAAAATATACCCTCATCAATTGAAAAATATATATTGTACATATCAGAGGATCGATCTATTTTCAAGAAACGCCAAGCCTCAAACACGCTGCTTTTTACAAGCCGTAAAATTTCACAGTCAAGTTTATTGCAACCTTCAGGGAAAATTCGAACATTAAAAGAGGAAGTTTATTCAGATCTCGAGCAAAGCGAATCAAGCGTGATAACAATACCGAAGAAACTCACGGTCAAAGTGTTGCATCATCGGATACAGAGCCTTGAACACATTTATGAAAGTCGTGGTCAAGAAATTGACTAAACCTTTCTCTCAAAAACCGCAAAAGCATAAAAGGACGCTCGGTCTTCGGTTTAAAAAAAATTCGGAATCGATTCCCAATGATGGCAAGATTTAACGAGCCATATTTAGAAGGGCGATATGTCCGTTCAATTACAGCGGGGCCGCGACATTCGGACGAGTCGACTATTGGACAGTTCGAAATCGAAAATGCTATCCGACATCCCGACAATGTTTCGAGATACAGAAACTTTGCCAACCCCTTCAAAAACGTTGAAAATATTCATTTTTTTTACGTTTGAAGAGACGAAGTCGGCTATTTCCATGAAGACGAATTCATAATGAACCTCGCTAAGTCGAACCTCCGTAAGTCAAATACCTCCCTAAGTCGAATTATTTTTGAGTCCCTGTCTGGATTCCCTTAGAAACCATGCTTTGAAAACCTCCCTAAGTCGAAGTATCTTTCTCTCAAACATCTCTACATCAAATTTTCTGAGGCCTTTTGGTTATTATTTCCTTGAAATATGAAAGAGAAAATCAATAAAAACAATTATTTCTCGCATCTTGAATTGAAGTGAAAGACTGAATTTAACAAATCAACCCCTGCCTCCAAGTTCAGCAAGCTGTAAACTCGTTGCAAAATAAGTTTAGGCCCAGAATATTTTCATCTACAATTTCCCACAATTTGTTACACTTCCTCACAGCAAAATTTTTTTTCCGTTACTGGAAACCTCCCTAAGTCGAATTTGTTCCTGGTCCAGACAAGTTCGACTTGGAAAGGTTCAACTGTAGTTTAAACAGCATCTGATGAATCCTCTCCAATTTACAATTTAAAACAGACCAGTTTTGCTCCTCTTTCCAGGATTTTCCCCCATTACCGAAAGTGGTGAAGTACATGAGTACATGTGCACATCCTTTGCCTTTGGATCCCTCTTCGTGACAAAAAAATCGAAATTCCATGAGATTTTATTCTGCATAAACTTTTCTGCATCTCAAAGCTAAGAAAAACATTATTCATTTTTTGGAGGACTTATTTTTTCTCAGCAGTATGAGTACTTAATTTCCTTCCGTTGAAGTTTTTGGCAAAACGTCGTTCGACATAAAAAACCATTCTTCAGCCTGGGAAAACAAATGCACGGTCACATGGGTAATTAAGAAGACACTAACGACGCTTTTTCAAGAAGACCTCGATCAAGATTTTACACTTTAACCTTTTCTTCGCCTCATCGCCATTCATAACAAAACAAACCTAACGCACCCCTTCCTTGGCAATTCAATTCATCACAGTTTCGGCATTCTAATGAAGAAAGAAAACGGTATGCTTTTATTAGAAGGTACACCACCAACGAAGCCACAACAGTTTCAAACCACCGTCCTCGTCATCATGAGGACACGCAAACGAATCCCGTCGTACCCAGCGACAGTAAAATGAACCGAAATGCAAAAATCCTTCACAAAGGCAAAACAAAAATGAATCCGCATGCTTGAATTAACCTGGAGCTCATGCGCGACAGCGCGAACAGCTCTAAATTTGGTTGAATGCCCGAGAACCCCATTTCGCCACGCGTATCTTCCAGCTGAGCAATTCCCGGCAGGGGAACAATCCTCATTCCAAGAACAAATACTTCGCGAAACTCACCATTCAACTTCATGAACCTTTAGAAAAAAAGAGTTACACGGGTGGCGGTTTCGTAATAAAACTAAGATTTCGGAATCACATCGTCCAGAAAATTGAGATTTATCATGACTGTAAGCGCAATTTTTCAGAAACGAAACAAGACGTAAAATCCCCTCTTCAACTCACAGGGTTTCGAAACTTTTGCCTCTTTCTGCACCCAGAGATAGTAACTCGTTAATTACGGGAAAGGAGTTAATAATAATACAGTACAATAATTAACTCAAAATCATGAACTTCAAGACGTTAATCAAATTCGCTTACGAGCTACGACAGATACCAGGGTTTGAACCATGGTTCGAATTAAAAAAAAAAAAAAACCTGCCATGAAAATAACACCAAGGAAAAAAGATTTTGGAAAATAAGATTTTTTGATTTTTACAAACATGACAAAAAAGGAGATCGTTCAAGCCAAACCTTGCCTCGATAATAAAATAGAGGTACTGTACTGTAAAGTATTCATCATGGATAATCGAGTACTGTTCTAAACTGAAAATTTGCATTAAATTACATCGAAATTCAACAAAACAAATTCAGGCCAAATTTGTATCCTCTCAAGGATTCGAACGTATTAGTTTCCGGAACACACACCAGCGATCAAGATTTCAAAGCACAGTTTCTTTGAAATTACGAGTAAAATAAATAACTACACAGGGTGGTGTAACATCTTATACCGGGTTTCCATCAACAATGCATTACAGGTACAGTATTTTTGTGCATTTCAAAAAATAGAGGCATAGAAATTCTGAATTTATGGATGAATCGGAAGTTTCGTCCATCACAGGTCGCAATACAGAGGACATGAATCAAAGTTCAATAAGCGATTCGTCATCACAAATTTTGAAATGTTTCTCTCATTTTGTCAGCCCTCAATTCTCACTCATCAACCGCAAAAATCTTGTCACGCAAAAAGTTTCTCACGGTTATAATACTGATGTATTACGAAAACTAGAAAAACAGAAATGATGAATTACCGCTCAATCGAAAGTTCCGTCCATCACAGTTTTTGAAATGTTATTCTTTGGAAGTTGGCCTTCAGGTAGATGCGCATGCATCACATGAACAGCATAAAATAAATATTCCTTTTCTTTTGGCAGCTCCCAAGTTCATCTTGATTTCCGTCAACCTACCGCAAAATCTTCTCATGCCAAAATAATGAGAAGAAACAAAATGTTCACGGCAAAGAACCCACACGTGAACCGGGCGACAGGGAAATCATTAGGACATTTCCTCGTCATGCATTCCGTGTTCGACATCGCGACCTCGACGGCAGCACCAAGCAACAGAGTACAGTACTCGGGGTGAAAAGTAGAAAAATAAAAACAGAAAGAAAAAAGAACCTTCACAGGTGCCGTCTCCAGAAATTTTGGCTCTTGGCCAACACAGTCGCACATCCACAAAATTTTGCTCAGACGGATAACCGACACCTCGACCACCGCCACAGCCGCCGCCGGAAGAGGTGAGGCAAAATATAAAAAAATAAATAAAAAGAAAATTAAAAATGCCAACAAGCGCCCGTCGACTCGACACCCAAGGCTCATCATCGTGGGGTTTTTCGAGGAAACATTCACGACTCCGGTTCGGGGCGGCGTGAACTTTAAAACTCCTCACAGACGAGTCGGGTTTCCCGGGGTCTAGAAAAGCCTCTTTCCGGAAGACAGCTAAGTTGACGAAGATGGAAGGGCCAAAATGCAACCCGATATTTTTCACATTGAATTGTGAGTGCTCTTCAACTCCTTTAGGTAGGTATGCTCTTGCATTTGACGAGGGGATGCTTAAAAAAAAAAAAGAGCGGAATCCTTTCAAGAAATCAGACACCAAGCATTCGAAATATCGTACAGTAAAATACAGTACAGGCAAAATTCCATGACAGAGAATATCATCATAGCGAAAATTTTCCTATTCCAACATTTTTCTCGCTGCTCGGGGAATAAGCTATACTCCGTGCAACAAAAAAAAACCCCAAAACGGAGAAAAGGACAGAAGAAAATCAGAACAACGGTCAACATTCCCAAAAGTTATCTTTTTTCTCGGACACTTCTCACAATTACTGTATTCGTAAGCATTGTAGCGTATATTAAAATGCTTGTGGCGAAAGAAATGGATTTTTAGAAGAAGAAGAAAAAAGGAACTTTGGTACATGCTAGCACGACAAAGAAAAATTATTAAAAGAGGTTCACATTGTGCCAAAGAAGCCAATTCCAGAGAGAAGAAAAAATGGTCAATAATCAATGGGATCTGGCACTGA